ACGAGGAAGAGAGGGAAGCACCGCTCCAGCCGGGCCCGACGCTACCGCCTGAACTCTGTCTTGAACCACTGTGCTCAGGGGAGAGCGCGAACGCAGTCCCCCACTACCAGAAATTATGCAGTCGAGGTTCCCACATTTGGGGGTAGGGTGAAGCTGCAGGCCCGGATACCCAACCGCACGCTCAGACCTGCACGCTCAGACCAGCACTTCCATACCTATCATTTTCTCAGACAGTGCCACCTGCTGTTGGGTTGGGTGAAGCGGCAGGTATCGAGACCCACGCTCAGAGCAGCACTTTCTAGGAAGTAGCAACATCGGACACGTGAGTAAGGTTATTCATTTTATTAAAGCGATTCTTGAAATTAGCAGGTTTTATGGCATAAATCAATGTGACATCTTATTACACTAACAAACAATATTTCAGTGTTTGATTTGAATTAGTCAAAAGATAGCATTATTTTATGATATTTACAGCGTGCTCTTATTTTCTGTTATTGTACCATTCTGGGACACGTTTCTAGCAATGATTTCTGGCAAAATAAAAAACTTTAATGTTACAATTAATAATTGCTTTATATACACAATACATTTTATTTTAACATTTTTACTTTAAAGTGCTATGTAGGTCTACTGAACGTATTACTGTATTATCTATCTGAAAGTGGTACAGACAATAACAGTAACACAATAACAGTTTAACAATTGTAAATAAGATCTCTGGAAATCAAAATATCAATTAATCTGCATAACATTTACAATGTAAGCTCTCTTAGGTTAAAACAAATATAATTTGCTTGTGACTTGTGTATGTTTTTCCTAGATGGATATTACAATTCAAAAAGGGGGGTCTCTGCCAGTACCTGTACAGTGCACCAAATGCTGCACATATTTTCATTGTCCATTTTGTGATATCTCGGTTTTCCAACCAACACGATTGAAAAAAGTGCAATCACATCTGCAGGCACATTTTAATAGATCAGTCCAGCATGAAGGAAATATTTGAAAATGTACATCTTATTATAGTGAAAAATTGTAAGAAAACTTAAAGTGCAATCTTATACTGCTTTTTTTTCAGAATTTACAATACACAGATGTGGACGCCTCTGCAGAAGTCAGCCACATTATCACTGCCTCTTCTGCAAATCAACCATTTTAAGAAAACCTGATTTTGTTAAACATTTAGGACTCTGCAAACAAAAACAACAACCACCAACCCCTCATACTAAAGCCATCACAACTTTTGCCACATCTCTGCCCGCCACACATGTGCCTCTCTCCACTGCCACGGCTCTGCCCGCCACACATGTGCCTCTCTCCATTGACACGGCTCTGCCTGCCACACATGTGCCTCTCTCCATTGACACGGCTCTGCCTGCCACACATGTGCCTCTCTCCATTGACACGGCTCTGCCTGCCACACATGTGCCTCTCTCCATTGACACGGCTCTGCCCGCCACACATGTGCCTCTCTCCACTGCCACGGCTCTGCCCGCCACACATGTGCCTCTATCCACTGACATGGCTCTGCCCACCACTTCTGGCATTTCTAGGCCCTTAAAAAAAATTGTCGGAAAAAACCAAAGCAACTAAAGCAATGTCCCAAATGTGATTTGATATGCCACTATAAAAATTTAAAAAGACATATAGAACATAAACACACCCCAAAAATGATGGACATCCCTTCCTCATCTCATCTTGACAGTGAGTGCATAGACCCTCAGAATGGAGTCTATATGGTCCACAAAAGTTTTCATGGAGCTTCTACTTCACTCCATGTGCAAATAAAAATATGGGGGGAACCACATCGTATTTTATGTGAATTAAATGAGTGCCAGACTAATATGGAGTTGGCTTGGAGAAGTGGACTGCTGTCATACCAATGTGTTCACCTCCGGTCAGTTTCATACTGCAAAACATTTTAACCTCACCTTCACTCACAGAAGAAAGTTTAAAAGAAATTGTTAAAAGCAAGTGGTTTGGGCAGGACCAAATAAAACAGTGTGTAAATCGTCAAAAACTAGCCCAAGAAGAAAATGCACCACTGTCAGTTGAATCCAAGATTGGAGTCCCACCAACAAAAAGGTTCATACCGGTCTACGAGCCTAATATATTATATTATAGTAGACTGGGCAGAGTCATGGTATCATATGACACCAAGAAGAATTCATGGCACTGCCCCTGTGCAAAAACCCAGAGATCATGTACCCATAAATACATAGCAAAATTGCACCTCTTTCAAATTCACCCTGAACTCTTCCGAAAAGTTCGGAGCACTGAAAGCGCTGAAGAATTTCAGGCAGCAGCGATGGAGGAAAGTGATGAAAGTGAGAATTACCCTCCAAAGGACATTGCTAAAGTAAAGAGCATGGTAGAATACATCTTAATGAATAAAAAGCTACCATCTACTATTCCAAGTCATTTGAGGATTTCTTCAGACTATAAGGAATTTCCAAAACACCTAATCCCTGATGAGACAATGTGCTACCACTGCTCAGACCGCACATTGCTCAGTGATCCTGTCTGCATTACACGTAAAGCGAAAATTCTTACAACTACAGGAATTGTCCAAGGTGGATAATTGTTACTTACATATTTTATTTTATTTTAATTTTGAAAAAGATACTAAACCATTTATTTTACATTCTGTATCTGCAGATATTTCAACCTACTACAAATTCTTTCCTTTCTGTGGAATGGTGTACCGTTACCAAGAGTGGGCTAATGGTTTGCATAACTTCAATGACCATGTCCTCCTTGAACTCTCTCTCTGCCTCACCATAAAAAACCTGTTGCAGGTAATCGTTATACAATACATATAATATATGTTATACAATATATTATTTTTTACAACAATAGGATTTCTTCATAGTGTTGATTTTATGTTAGGCAACATTAGGCACATTCAAATCAAGACTTAAAACACATCTGTTTAGCTGTGCCTTTACTGAATGAGCACTGTGCTACGTCCGACAGTTCACACTATTATGTTTTCTGTTTTTAACTGTTTTTTAAATCATTTTTATTCTTTGTTTTTATTTTCTTATACTTGTCTCTTTTATTCTTGTTTATGTAAAGCACTTTGAATTACCATTGTGTATGAAATGTGCTATATAAATAAACTTGCCTTGCCTTGCCTAGATAAGTACTGATTAACTGTGATTTCTTTATCATAGGTGCATACAGCAGTCAGCAGAGTAGTGGAGTACTTAGAGATAACTACAGGTGTACAGTTCCCCTCAGCAGTTACTCTTCTCCACGGCTATCTGCATTTTGAGGCCCTAACTGACCATGAATACAAGTATTCATGTGTCTCCTGTGGTGACCATCCATCTGTGTCTTTCATGTCACCTGTATCTTTCCTTTTTACTGCAGAGAGGTAAGTCTTATTAGTAAATCTATTAGTAAGTTTATAGTATGTATTTATTTTCTTTAGTGAGTGATCTTTCACAGCCTCCACAAGATTTTAATGGAGAGGTGGATTTAGATATGTTTTGGAAGGCACTGACAGAAGAACGAATTGCTCAAGGATTTTTTTCAAGTAAGGAAATGTATTATATCAGGAATGGCATGTCATCATTATTTAATTTCATAAGTGTTTTTAGAAGTACAATCTAAATTCACTGATGTACTAACATGTTTGTTTGTCCTAAAGGTCAAAAAAACAATCCATTTTGTGTTACACCTAGTTACAACTTTTGGGCACCCTGGATCGGGAGTAAGACTCGCATAGCGAATGTTGTTCTCAACACTGAATTTGTGAAAGTGCACAAAGCAAAAACTGCAGAACGAACCGAAATAACTGTCTCTGAAGATCGCTTAAAGGACGAACTTTCAAAACAGAAAGTAAAATATTTAATGCTAATTATATGTATTATTTGTCAGTGTTGGCATTTCATTTAACATGTGTGTTTTATGTGATAGGTGGGAGTGATAAGAGGACTGTGTCAAGAGTGTGGTTTAGATGCCAAAGGCTCTCGCACAGATCTACTCCTGCGACTTTCGGAGGAGATGAGGTCAAGGGAGGCCTATGACAAGGTTTTTGAAAAGATTTGGGCTGCTTCAGGTAAACCTCAATGTCGCACATTAAAATATTACAAATAAATCAGAAATGTACAAAGTCACATAGACATAATGGGTCCTGTTTTCTGCTTGGCACTGATTGGGGAGTGACTGGTGGTGTACAGCTCTGGGGGGTGTTGGAGGTGGCCTTGTCTGACACCAGGGTGTATTGTTGCTTTCCGTGTAGGGGAGTGTATTTACATCTCTGAGGCACTGCATCTTTAAATTTTTTAAAAGTATACTTTGTTAAGGTTAATGCCACTGCCCTCCATCATAACCTATGGTCATTTAAGTCCCAATGTCATTAATGGGATTTGATTATGTTTTCTTAACTATTTGCTTATCTTTTTTGTCTGTTCCAGGAGGTTGGGCTGTCATCATGTGTCCTTGTGGCATAGTTTACAGTATAAAATGTAATCTGTGAGCAGAAAGTCCACGGGATTTTGCAGATATGCTTCTGTCTTGGAAGCATCTGCCTATTGTTGTTATTTATGACTTTGCCCGTGGACTGTCCACCCACACAAATTTGAGGAAACTCATAACTTTCACACCTTTCGAGGGAAGGTTACTCGAACCAACCACTGAAAATATTGCAAAAGCAAAATCAGGAAAATTACAAGTAACTCTGCTATGGCTCACTGCAAAAAAGCAAAGTCCAGATCCAGATGGTCATCCAATAACTGGTTCTGCAGAACACTAAGTTCTGTATGACCGCTTTCATGAAGACAACACAAAAGATCCTCGTGATTCACTGAGGAAGCTTCGTCTTGTGCCTCAACTAGCTGGCAAAGTTAACAGTCAGGCTGCAGAAAAGCTTTTTTCAAAGCTAAATGCCATCCACACATGTTTTCCTCATGCGAAACATCATCCACCATTACAATGTCAGAAAAAACGAGAAACGTCTTCATGACATAAAAAAGGAATTCAACACAAACATCAACATGAATGACCACAGCCCGGTTGTGTTAGGTAATGTTTCCCTTACTTTGTAACAAATACATCACTATATCCATAACTGTACTTATGTGTATATTTGCATTTATAGAAAATCCATCCTCCACAGAGAAATGCATGGACATGTCACTTGGTAATTTGACTGTTCTTTCCAGTTGCTCAGTGTCAAGTTTCTGTTCACTAATTATTATGTGTTATTTTCTAATTTTGATGCTTTAATGTACTCTAAGGACCACTGACAGCACTGACAGAAAATATTGTGACTTTACAAACGACCGCTGCATCACCAGGCATAACATCAGTCACATCTCCTCTGTCATCAGTACCAATTAAAGAAAAAACAGCTTGTGAACCTACCACTCTTCTGAATTTTTTGGAACCTACTAAGCCTTGGGAGAGGGACTGGCATCCATTACAAGAGAAACTGGTGAACAATTACCATTACATACAAACGCACACACACACACACACATATTTATTGTTATTATTATTACAGCTTGATTATGTGCTGGACCGAAATCGCCCTGGCAGTGAAATAATTGTGAAGGAGGGGCAAGTGTGCCTTATTCGAGAAGAATTTTGGAGCCTTGGATTGTTGAGGGACATGGACTCCCATGTAAGCAGTCTGTTTTTTTATTATAACTTTTTTTTTATTAAAAACATGGACTTATCAAAGTATTTATTGCAGATTGGAAACACCTGCATGAAGCTTATTTGTGAAATGGCTCGACAAATTGTATGTACTATAAAACATAATATTTATATGGATTGTTTTAACTTGATCCAAATATTCTAAACTGTGTGAAAATGTTCATGTCATTGTCAACAGTTTCTTTTTATTCATGTAGGGCAAGGACATATACATTGAGGACTTTTATGTTGTCCCTGTGTGGAAAGAAACTCCTAACAACATTGTTACTGGACTACCGGTGCGTGTATGTACTGTATTTACTGTGTGAGAAGTACAAACTAAATTAAACAACATAACTGTCCTGATCAATTCTAGGAAGATGCAGACTTGAAAGACCTGTTAGCCTTTCCAGCATGGACAAATGCCAATGGACCAGACCACTTTGTTGTCTGTGTAAGAAAATATTGAAATGTCTAGTGCATACATTAATTGGTATTGCAATGTGTGTGTTTCTAAAATAAAACACTGAAAAATCTTGGAAGAAGCAATAATGTTCAAATGAAATATTTTTACACCTTTAACATTGTAGATAATGATGCCGCTTCGAAGAGAGATGGTGTTTTTAGACTCTCTGTACACAGAGCAGGAATCAGGATTTGGAGATGAGGAATACAGGGCAATTTTTAGGTCTATCAATAAACTAAGACGTTTCAGCCTTTATGTGATATATGGCTACGTTCCTATAGCCATTTCTCTTTATTTCCTAACCGTGTATTATAGTTCTGCCACTTTTGGCTACGTTACTATAGCCGTTTCTTAAACTTCTGGCTATGTTCATCTAGCCTTTTTTATGCATGGTGTTCTAGAGTTGAGGTGAGCTGTAATTGTTAGTATTACTACTATGTTTTGTTTACAGGAAAATTGCTTACCGAGTGGATCATGGGACATGGTCTGAAAAGACTGGATATGATTTTCCAGTGAGGAATCAACTTAAAAAAAATTATTATTTGGCTTTTACAACAATTACATTTTTTGTACATTATTCTAAAATAAAATTGATTTGCTTTGGCTATTTTAGGCTTTGCCACGTCAGACAAGAGGGAATGATTGTGGTGTTTTTGTACTCATGGTAAGATATAAATTGAGTTAATTGATTTAAAGATTTTGTAAACATTGTAAATGACTGTGGCTTCTCTCTTTTCAGTACACCCTCTCAATGGTGTGTGGCATTGGGTTTCAACTCCAGGAGGTATTATTTTATTATTTATGTAACTTTATTTTGTTGGTGCTTTTTTTAATCATAGCTAAAATGTAACTATTTTAGTGTATATTATCTTGCTTTCTTCTAAGCAACATATCTTTTAAAAAAAGGGGCATGGTTATTGCAACCACACCCAACGTCATGTATTAACAAAAACATGTTGGTTAACTGTCAGACTAAACAGTCTTTCTTTCAGATGGATATACCTATCATCCGTCAGTGGTGGTGCCTTCTACTCATGGAACAATTTCAAATTGATGGGTATGTCAGTATTTATTTATTTTTCTTGTAAATCTGTAAAATTAAAAATTTATATTGTGTCAATACAACAACTTGTAACATGAATAACAAAACATACTTAAAATCTCTTTTACCGGTGACCAGTATGTCACCGACTCGGTCCCAGTAACTCCCCTCGCTGGCCAGCAGAGGCCACCATCTCCGGACTTTTAGCATTACGTAATCCATCTACACTGATTGCGCATACACCTGATTGGAATCTGGCTAATGACCCACGTACCTCTTATAAGCCGCACTCAAACACTCGTTCAAGGCGAAGTCTTGTTTAGCCCCGGCCAGCATTTCTGAGCATTATCTCCAGCCTGATCTCCTGTGCACGACTCCAGCCTGTCTCTTACTTTGCTTCGCCTTCTGCCTGCCCACGACCCACGCTTGTTATACGGACTCTGACTCTCTCTCTGCCTGCCCACGAACCACGCCTGTTACACGGACTCTGATCCTTGCTGCCTGCCCTTGACCCAAGCCTGCATAACGGATCCTGGTTCTCGCTCACTCCCTTCCACTCATGCCTGGTAACTCACTCTTTGTCTGTTCATCATCAGTCTTGATACCCATACTACTACTGTGGATGTGTGTGTGCACTCCGGTGCATATTGTGTGTTTGAGTGAAGTTGTGATTAATAAATACTGCATAATGGATCCCTCCGTGTCAGTCTCCTCGTTACACAGTAATTATGGATTTTGTCTTGTCTTGTTATTAAAAGCTATGGGCACAGATTTGCTTTCTGGACTGAGGAGGCAAGAAGTGTCTTGGATGGAAAGATTCTGCCCCTTTTTAGGGTGAAAAGAAAAACCACATCCAATCTTCCGGCACATGTCCAAGCAGTTCAAGATCGGGAAAGGAATGACAAAAGATTAGTGGACTTGATTATCACATCAAAATCACCAGAGCAGCATTTGGTGGTATAGATGGTTCCACTTTAAATTACTCCTCTAGACTCTGAGTATGGTTGACTTAAATATAGTCAAGTGACAATTTAACTATTATTTGCCAAATATAATTAATTTCTTGTGCATTTACATATGAAATATAATTTCCTTCTATGGCCCAAAGGATATACTCGGTGGGAAAAGGTCAAATTGGTTTCCACTAAAACCCCGTTCTCAAGTGCCTGTCTACATTGAGAATGAGCAGTCCCGGTCAATCATTTGTGACTACATCAGAGGAATTCTTAATAAAACCAAAACACAGCTGACCTTCAATGATGAGGTGGAGTTCATTTGTGGATGTCTCCTCCCAGAGGTAATCACAAAACATGTATGTACATGAGCATGCTTATGTTCTGCAGTGTGTGTTTTATTTTATTAATTGGTTTATCTGTATGTTTGTACAGGCCATAACTTATGGCATTTCCGAGTTACAAGGCTTGTCTTGGCAGGAGGCTGAAGATGTCTTCCTCCAGGGCCCCATTTATCACGCAAGGTATGTTTACATTTTTTTGTACAAAAGCTGTTAAGTTTTTATATTAAACACAATTTCTGACAACAGCATTTATTTATTTTTTTTTAGTTAAGTTGAGGAATTTAACAGAAGAATTGCTCGAGAAATGAAAAATCTCCCCAACAGGAATGTAAAGCATTTTGTTTTATATGTAATAAATACATTATTAATCCAAGTATTGTTTTTCACAATTTTTCTCTGCATTTTTTACAGCTCGATGACTTGTAGGACCTCATGAAAATTTATAAAAAAAATAAAGTTTGGTGTTAGAAAATTACTCGGAGTACTATCATTTATTCTGTGAATAATAAGATAATGTTCATTCCCTCAACTCAATACTAAAGAGTTTGATAAATCCTTAATGATTTAAAAAAAAACAACAACAACAAAAACAAATGACTGAAAATATTTAAGTAACTGAACAATATCTATTTACAAATACAGTTAATTAAAATACAACAGACTTAATGCATTAAATCATAATCTAGTATGTTTAATATTTTATATAATAATGTATTCAATCATAGTGCAATATTTTACAGTAGAAAAATAGTGTAATTTATAAATCAATGAATTCAGGTTAGGCAATTTTTCCAACAGCAGGTGGCACTGTCTGAGAAAACGATAGGTCTGGAAGTGCTGGTCTGAGCGAGCAGGTCTGAGCGTGTGGTTGGGTCTCGGGGCCTGCAGCTTCATAATGTTGCCACAGAGACTTAGGGAATGGTCACCTACAGTGATAGAAACGCGGAACTTTGTCTAGACACTGTTAACAGTGATACCTTCCCTACCCATGACAATGTTCTACTAAATCCTGATTTCATCTTGTAACGCTGGACAGAATGTGGCCCAGGATCTTTGTCCAGTGCACGTGTTAGCAGTTGCAAGGCAGCAAAATTATTGATCCGTCCCTGGGTGGGCTTGAACCACCAACCTTTCAGTTAACCGCCGAACGCGCTAACCGATTGTGCCACAGAGACTTAGTGAAAAGTCACCTACAGTGGTAGAAATGCGGAACTTTGTCTCAAAAGGTCTGCTATATGAACCCTAATGTAAGTTTGCTGAGAGAGAGAAAAGTAACAAAAATGCCCAACGTGGGGCTCGAACCCACGACCCTGACATTAAGAGTCTCATGCGCTACCGACTGAGCTAGCCAGGCGGATGAGGAGTCCCCGCTAGAACTAGACACTGTTAACAGTAATACCTTCCCTACCTGTGACAATGTTCTGCTAAATCCTGATTTCATCTTGTAACGCTGGACAGAATGTGGCCCAGGATCTATGTCCAGTGCACGTGTTAGCAGTTGCAAGGCAGCAAAATGCTTGATCCGTCCCTGGGTGGGCTTGAACCACCAACCTTTCAGTTAACAGCCGAACACGCTAACCGATTGCGCCACAGAGACTTAGTGAAAAGTCACCTACAGTGGTAGAAACGCGGAACTTTGTCTCAAAAGGTCTGCTATATGAACCCTAATGTAAGTTTGCTGAGAGAGAGAGACAGAGAGGTAACAGAAACGCCCAACGTGGGGCTCTAACCCACAACCCTGACATTAAGTGTCTCATGCTCTACCGACTGAGCTAGCCAGGCGGATGAGGAGTCCCCACTAGAACTAGACACTGTTAACAGTAATACCTTCCCTACCCGTGACAATATTCTGCTAAATCCTGATTTCATCTTGTAACGCTGGACAGAATGTGGCCCAGGATCTATGTCCAGTGCACGTGTTAGCAGTTGCAAGGCAGCAAAATGCCTAATTCGTCCCTGGGTGGGCTTGAACCACCAACCTTTCAGTTAACAGCCGAACGCGCTAACCGATTGCGCCACAGAGACTTGGTGAAAAGTCACCTACAGTGGTAGAAACGCGTAACTTTGTCTCAAAGTCTGCTACATCAAACCTTATGTAAGTTTGCTGGGTGAAAGGTGAAAGGTGACCTACAGTGGTAGAAACCCGGAACTTTGTCTCAAAAGGTCTGCTATATGAACCCTAATGATAGTTTGCTGAGAGAAAGAGAGGTAACAGAAACGCCCAATGTAGGGCTCTAACCCACGACGCTGAGATTAAGAGTCTCATGCTCTATCGACTGAGCTAGCAGGGATGATGAGAAGCTCTTTTAGGAACCAGAAACCGTTTACAGTAATACCTTCCCTACCCGTAAAAATCTTCTGCTAAATCCTGATTTCATCTTGTAACACTGGACAGAATGTGGCCCAGGATCTATGTCCAGTGCACGTGTTAGCAGTTGCAAGGCAGCAAAATGCTTGATCCGTCCCTGGGTGGGCTTGAACCACCAACCTTTCAGTTAACAGCCGAACGCGCTAACCGATTGCGCCACAGAGACTTAGTGAAAGGTCACCTACAGTGGTAGAAACGCGGAACTTTGTCTCAAAAGGTCTGCTATATGAACCCTAATGTAAGTTTGCTGAGAGAGAGAGACAGAGAGGTAACAGAAACGCCCAACGTGGGGCTCTAACCCACAACCTTGACATTAAGCGTCTCATGCTCTACCGACTGAGCTAGCCGGGCTGATGAGATGTACGTTTAAGAGCTAAACACTGTTTACAGTAATACCTTCCCTACCCGTGACAATGTTCTGCTAAATCCTGATTTCATCTTGTAACGCTGGACAGAATGTGGCCCAGGATCTATGTCCAGTGCACGTGTTAGCAGTTGCAAGGCAGCAAAATGCCTAATTCGTCCCTGGGTGGGCTTCAACCACCAACCTTTCAGTTAACAGCCGAACGCGCTAACCGATTGCGCCACAGAGACTTAGTGAAAGGTCACCTACAGTGGTAGAAACGCGGAACTTTGTCTCAAAAGGTCTGCTATATGAACCCTAATGATAGTTTGCTGAGAGAAAGAGAGGTAACAGAAACGCCCAATGTAGGGCTCTAACCCACGACGCTGAGATTAAGAGTCTCATGCTCTATCGACTGAGCTAGCAGGGATGATGAGAAGCTCTTTTAGGAACCAGAAACCGTTTACAGTAATACCTTCCCTACCCGTAAAAATCTTCTGCTAAATCCTGATTTCATCTTGTAACGCTGGACAGAATGTGGCCCAGGATCTATGTCCAGTACACGTGTTAGCAGTTGCAAGGCAGCAAAATGCTTGATCCGTCCCTGGGTGGGCTTGAACCACCAACCTTTCAGTTAACAGCCGAACGCGCTAACCGATTGCGCCACAGAGACTTAGTGAAAGGTCACCTACAGTGGTAGAAACGCGGAACTTTGTCTCAAAAGGTCTGCTATATGAACCCTAATGTAAGTTTGCTGAGAGAGAGAGACAGAGAGGTAACAGAAACGCCAAACGTGGGGCTCTAACCCACAACCCTGACATTAAGTGTCTCATGCTCTACCGACTGAGCTAGCCGGGCTGATGAGATGTACGTTTAAGAGCTAAACACTGTTTACAGTAATACCTTCCCTACCCGTGACAATATTCTGCTAAATCCTGATTTCATCTTGTAACGCTGGACAGAATGTGGCCCAGGATCTATGTCCAGTGCACGTGTTAGCAGTTGCAAGGCAGCAAAATGCCTGATTTGTCCCTGGGTGGGCTTGAACCACCAACCTTTCAGTAAACAGCCAAACGCGCTAACCGATTGCGCCACAGAGAGTTAGTGACAAGTCACCTACAGTGGTAGAAACGCAGAACTTTGTCTTAAAGTCTGCTACATCAAACCTTATGTAAGTTTGCTGG